TCTGGTGGGGAATCGCCAACAAATGAAACACAAGCTACAGTGAGGAGTGAGAGATCTTTAATTAAACAGTCTAATGCTATTTGGTCAGGTTTTATCCCACTTCCAGACAAGCCCTTGGAAGGAAGGTTCTCTTTTAGACTTTTACTAACACCTTGATCTTTGAGCTTGATTTGAAAAACCTCCCAGCAGCTTGCAAAAATTAAGTTACTGTATGAAGCAGCAAAAGAAAGCAACAAAAGACCAAGGGCATGTTTCATTTTGCTCCTCCTACTACTAGGGAGCAACCTTTGCCAGGAGCTGCAGCTAGCAATACCTTAAACAACTGCAGAAGCCAAGCCCAGGGAAAAGCCCCAGCCTAAGCGCTGAATCTAAAGAGAACACAACTTGATCAACATATTGTTTGAGAAAACTGGAGACCAAATTGCCCCTGGTTCCACTTTTCTCGAGCCTCTAAACTATGAATTACTGCTGGCACATGCCAGGTAACATACAGTAAAAGAGCAATCACAAATAATTAGCAGCAGGCAAGAGGCATTTGTCTCGGGCAATCCCTCAAACTGCTTCTACGTGTATTAATTTTCTAAACTAACTCAAAGCAAATCTTAAGCTTCACAAAGCAGCAGTTAAAAACACTTACAAGTAATAAGCTCTTACAACAACAAAGCCAGGCTATGTTTGACTAGTATTTTAAAAAAGAGCACTTTTCTGACTTGAAATACCTGAGGTAGCTTTACAAGGGCAGGGCTGGGGAGAATAAGCAACTGCCACTCACAGCATCTTACCCACCTCTCTCCTTGCCCAGGTTTGGCCACCACAGCGCGCACAGGGATGTGACACCCAAGCAGAGGGGCTGCGCCAGCTCCTCGGGTGTCTTGGCAGGGAGCTCCCAGCCAGATGCAAGAAAAAGCGGCAGGTCTGGGGGCAGAGCAGTGGTGGTCTGCACTTCAGGGGCTCCAAAGTCAACCACGAACACCATCAAACACCCAGTCCCACAGCATGGCTCGGTTCTCAGCTGTGATTTTCCTGGCTGCTGGGTTCAGCCAGTGATAAGAAGTCAACAGTGCTGGGGGACACAGTTACAGTACAGGCAAGCCCTTACCACGGCTAATGCAATTTTATCTCTCAACATCAATGAGACAAAGATTTGTTTTTACACATCCCAGGCTCCAAAAGTCTTAACCCAAGCACAACACCAGTTTGGTGCTCCACACAATGCCCAGGCTCCTCAGTCCTGGGGAGCTCACTTGCCATCCCTGCTCCAGCTTCACAGAAAGCCTAACCCTTGTTCAGCTACTTCACAGATGTTTCTGCGAGGTTCTGCCACATTCAGGAACAAGAGGAAGAGGTACTCACCACCCAGGAGACATAGCTATCAGCTCTAGCAGTGCTCTGGCTGCTTCCTCCTGCCTAATTTAGGGATCCAGGTGCAGGAGGGTGCTCAGGGAAGAGCACTTAGCAGCAGACAACTCCAATCAAGATAGTTAGGACAGGTGAGGAGGCACCCTTCATCCACATCCTGCTTTAGCATGTAGGCATCAGACCTACCAGAAGGATGAGATGTTCCCAGAGCACTTTGAACACAGGTCACCGAAAGTTACCCAGCAGAGGCAGGCACACATTGTGCTCCCACCAGATCCCAGCCTGCAAAAAAGCAATGAAGACATCTCACAGAGCACGAAACCCCCATCAGGCACGCTGGGAAGTCGGTCCCTTCTTCACCTCAAGCTGAAGCCTGTTTAGAGAGCACCCATTTGGTAATGGGGTCTCCAGCATGCCTTGTTTTGCAGCACAGCTGCAATTTGCAATTCAGTTTATCGCATTAAAATGTGGTGCAGCCCTAGTGGAAAGAAGTAAATATGTCACTTGTCACAGCTCCTCCCGTTACCTTTTAGTGGGAAGCGAGCGTGGGGCTTCTCAGACAGCAAACAGCAGCATGGCCATCAATGCA